ACAACACCTCAAACTCAGCCTTAATTCACAAATCTTGAAATTTGAATGTAAAACATCTAACTATTTAAAAAATAAAAATTTATTTTTTTATAATTTATAATAGATCATAAATCAAAAAGTAATTTTCATTTTTTCTTGAATTCTTCAACTTAAAGATGAGATTGTTTAAGTCTTTTTTTCACAATATTTTATTAAAATAACATAGTAGTGTTGAAGTTTTTTTTAACTTAGTTTTTTATCAATCTATCTATTAAACATTTTTTTCATTTATTGAAAGAGATATATTATTTAGAAAAATATTTTATGCAATTCTAATAATACATTACTTAATATTAAATAGAAATAGACCCCTTAGTATTAGAGGGTCTCTTCCATCCAGTTATTTTATTTTTTTGATATAATACAGTTTAAATGACAAGATAAAATTTTTTATTATTTATAAAAAAATATATTTTATAATTTAATAAAATTTAGATAAAAAAACCTATATTGAAAAACTTTTCTCAATAAAACACCCATTCAAAAATCAAAAACCATGAAGGAAATTTTTAGTACCTTCTTGTTTTCTTTTGAAAAAAAAATTTCCTTTTTAAGAGACGTTTTGGGTATAATTTGTTTATATTATTTTTTATATAATTTTTTTATACAACTTTTATATATCATTAAATAAATTGATGCATTCAATATCATGAGTCTTATATAAATTAAAAAAATTAATAATTTTAATGACACGTTAAATTATACAAAAAAAACAAAAAAATTATACAAAAATCATTTTCCTAATAAATAATTTTTCACTTTTCAAATTTTGGATAATATTTAAACCTAACCTCTTAATTATACAAACATCCCTTTTAAAAGAACAACAAGATACCTTTTAATAATAATGAATGCATGCCGTAACTTATGTTTTGCAGTTGCAATAAAAGGATTCATTTCATAAATTGACTCTATGTTTTGTATAGACTCTTGTGCTTCTGCCAAAAATAATAAGAATGGATAGATGAAAACTTTAGGATAGAACTCTCTATACAAGAATTCTTATAGGACTGGAGTTTGAATCAAACTCATTTTCTCTTTCCAAAAAAATGTAATCTTGTTAAAAAAAAAAAAAAAAAAA